TCTGCTTTCTCCTCCAGATGAGCAGAAGGATGCATTAGGCTTCACCCATTTCAGAAGGCAGATAAAATGATGTCTTCTAACAATAACAACATGAAGGATTTATAGTCAGTGAGTGAGATAAGAGAAACCACTTCTCTTTTAAGTCATTACTGCTTAGAGTTTTTTGAAACTTACAGGTGTGTCTTGTGGTAAAGGCAGCCAGTTGAAAATCTGGCTGGATATTAAATTTCCTGTTCTGTCACAGATATCTTCTTAAGGTTGAGGTATTCATTTAATTTGTGTCAATTAATTGAATATAAAATAAGGATAAAGCTTTCTTTGCCCATCTGCAGTATCAAACTGTAAACTTTTCATTTTTATGGCAGTGGTGGGCTTAGGTCTTGATTGAGACCTGAAAACAATGATCTTTCTAATATCAAAACAAAACACAATAGGAAACTTCAGTGTATCCTCCTAAAAATAAATACATTTTATTTATTTACTCAAACAAGGTCATTTTCAAATAAGTTATTCTAGGTAAAAAAATATGTTTGTAAACCAGTTGCTAAGAGATTGCTTGGAGTGACAGGCTGTGTATGTTTGGACAAGTGCCTTGCCCAGGGGCCATTATGCTTGTCTCATGGTGGTACTTTAAGGAATAATCAGATCTTTTTTTAAACAAATCTAAACATGTAAATAATTGTACAAGTGCTGAATAATATTCCTATTAATCTTTTTAGTAAAAAATTGGTCTGAAATGAAATCTTGGAACACATTCACCAAGGAGCACACACAGAGTTTTCTAAAGCCTATGACTTGAAGATAAATCAGAAACCTACCAGCTTTAAGACTGCTTTCTATTAAGGAGACAGCATTCTGAAACTCACAGCTCCTTAATCAAATTGCCACTGTATTGCCATAATCTCTGTCCGTGGACTCAGTGTGGCCAGGCTGATACAACTGATGAAGAAGTTTAAATTTTTCTCTTTTACCTTTGTGGTTTTCTGAGGACAGGACCAGAAGTTACCAGCATGTTTTAGCATGAATCACTGTGTGAGAAATACTTTCCAGTGTCAAAACGCAGTGCACTGAACTATCATTACCTCTAATAGGTATAAAAGACATTCAGCATCTTCTGGACTCCAGCTTCTAACTGCAGGGAGGGATCTCACTACTGACTTAGAACAATAAATTGCATAAATTGAAAAGGCTGCACCATCTCTGGTGTTTTAGTCTGGTAAGAGAAAAGTAAATGTAGATTAAAGAGTTCATCAATTCTTTTGTATCTGAGAATTGCCATATAGAATGCAGCCAGTGATCGATCTGTTCTATTTTATGTGAGCATTCAGACAAGAACTTTGAGGAATGGTATAAAAATTCAAAATTGTGGATAGCTTTGGTGTAATTTCTCCTTTGAGAGAATGTTACTTTTTACATTCCAGGTGAAGTTGGAAAGGTTCTCTTCTAAGACTAGTATTAGATCAAAATCTGAGCACTAGTTAGTCAGGCTGAAAAAAATTCAGACATGTCTGTACAAGGATTTCTTGTGCAGCTTCTTCCAAAGACAATGGGAGTTCTAGAAATTGAAGATGTTTAGGTTGGACAGTCTATTTTTCTTATCTTTTTTTTTTTTTTCCTTTTTCTCCTGTCTCAAGAACACCAAAAAAGTTATTCTAGTCTCACTTAAAATTTTAAACAAAATCAGACTGGCCATCATTATGGTGTTACTAACATAAATGTTGTTTCTTGTATGACTAAACTCCCAATGGGCAAACACCATCTGCCTGTTGGGGGAAAAGAGAAGATACCACTGAGACAATTAACTCAGTAGGAGCTGAGAAGCATCAAGTCTCCTACAAAAGCTACATGACAATATCCTTGGAAATCTCTAACACCACATTCAGTGCATTTGTTTTTTGAAGTTTCTGCTTTGATTTTTGCCTACTAAACTGAAGAGTTTTCAACCAATGAGCTTTTCTCCAGAGCCAAATTCAGATCAGGTGCTACTGTGCACAATGTTACTGACTGCCTTGAAACAGGAGATGGGCTTGGAAAATTACCTTCCAGCTAAGAACACAGAAATTCAGATTGTGATACAGCAGCATTGGTAACACTGGCACATCAGTTTACCCTTGCAGGAACAATGAGTATTATTTACTGCTGTAAAATATTCCTTAAGTGATATTTCTCCACAATAGGAACCTAGAAAAAGCAGTGAGGTTTTTTTCTTAGGCATTTGAATTTAAGTGAGTTCTATAAGACACATATTTGCTTTGGATTTTATTCATGGAAACAAAATAATACACATTTTAAAAGGTTATTTTATTTTTAATAATAGTTGTGTACTCCCTTGTTTAGTGAAGTACTAGAATTTTGGAAGTTAATGCTTTTTTCATCATGCTCTAGAGTATTACAATTTTATAAACCAGATAAAAACAAATGAAGAGCACACAAAAGAGCTAAGTTGGCTACTTGGAAGTACGTGTTAAAGTGTGTTTCTTTTGCAGAACACAGCTGCTTTCTAGCAGGTCATTTCCACAGTTGTGAAACATGGTTATTTCCACTTGACTGGTGTCAGATCCCTCAGTATGGGAGGTCATCACCTGGGGAGAGGTGGGTTGCAGCAGGACTCCTGCAGAAGAGCTGTTCAGCAGCTGTTGTGCTGCCTTTGTTTTCTTTAGTATCTCCCCAGAGAGGAGCATGGTGCTGAGCTGCCTTGGATACCTTCTGTGAGCTTTTAATGGGAGAGTGGGAGAGCAGTAGGACCTTTCCTTAAGCACTGGCTGTGCAACAGCTGTAAAACCATCTCCACCTGACAGCCCTGCTCTTGATCGTGTCCTCAGATTTACAGCCTTTGTCACCTGCTATTTAGCCAGCATTTTATGGTAGCGTGGGTCCATGAAAGAACAACAATCTCAGCAAAGCTCCTGGTGTGGTTATAGGTGGATCTGTCTGATTCACAATGCTGGGGCAAGTGAGTGCCTTAGCACAATCCCACTGTTAGCTGTCTGTGTGAACAGACCTTCATCGGGGTGTTTCTGAGCCAGTATGTACAGCAGAAGCTGAGGTCTGTATTTGACCACTAAAACTGAGCAAAATTGCAAAGGACTATGTGGAAGTGGGAAATCAAAGCAGAGAGCGACATGTGCAATCATGATCACTTTCCAGAGATGTCCATGGCAAGTGAAAGTCTTAACTTTATGGGATAACAAAAATCTTGGTAGAAATACTGGATTTGTGACAAATTGTAATTCCTCTCCCGTCTCCTCACCTAACCTTTTTGTGTTCCACAGGCTATAAATTACTGATTTCTTTCTTTCCATTAGAAGATAAGGACCTTATCACCTCTCCTCCTTTCTAACATTCTTATCACTCCACAGGCAGTGAGCATCTTTACTCTCAGGTGGCCTAATTGATACATATCAAATTAAAGGCAAAGCATTTTTTTGTCAACTTGCATTTAGCTTTGAAGTGTGTTGCTTTGATTTCAGACATGAAGAACAGTTTCATGGGCCTGAAAGTTCCCCCTTTTCCAACTGTACTAGTTGATCAAATAAAATATGCTGCCTCTGTCCACAAACTGCCTTGCCTGTGTATCAGTGCAATCAGTTCTTGTTAGTGAAAAAGAGAAGGCAATTTTTTCGTGGAACTACTTAAAAGGTATGTGTGAGGACTACAGCTCTTCAGAGCCTTCAAGATTAGGACAAAATGTTTAAATAGGATGAAATACAGAAGAAAAAGATTCAGTAGAGTCTAGGGTAGATAACTGAATTAGCAAGAAAAGGAATTTTAGGGCTTATCTCTTAAACAGGGACATTTTGTGCGAAAGAAGTACCAGAGATGAGAAAGCTGAATATACGGGCAGGAGGTAGTGCCAGCATCAAATTGTTTAAAGAGTATTACCATAGAATCATAAAATGGTTTGGGTTGGAAGGGACCTTAAAGATCACCTAGATCCAACCCCCTGCATGGGCAGGCACACCTCCCACTAGACCAGGTTGCCCAAAGCCCCATCCAACCTGCCCTTCAACACTGCCAGGGATGGGGCAGCCACAGCTTCCCTGGGCAACCTGGGCCAGGGTCTCACCACCCTCACAGGGAAGAATTTCCTCCTGGTGTCTAAGGGAAAGGAAGGGCAAGGAGGAGAAATGGTTCCTCTATTATTCTCTCTCTTAGAAATTATACTTCAGAATAAATGACAACTATAAAAAATATCAGACCAGAAAAATGAATGGGAAAGTACAACTTTCATCTAAAATATTTGCTAATGAAATTTCAATGGTGTATTTTTTGTTACATTTCTCTCGAGGCAAAAGCTCTGGTGCAGATGCAGGCATACTAAGAAAAAAATTAAATTTCTGGTACAACAATTTATTATTCTGTGGTAGTAGTGCTGAATCAACCCTCCTGGGTTCTGGTTTCTTAACTAACTCAAGAGCCTATAGAAAAAAATATAATTTAAGTGCTTAAATTAATTTAAATTATATTTCCAAATTGCTCATCTCAAACCTCTTTTTTGAAGGACTTAGTCTACCTGGGGTTTTTCTCTTAAGAGCTGGCACTCCTGTTTCTGTGACTCAGCTACAGTTCTCCTGAATCTTTTTGCAGGACTTCATTAATTGGCATCATGTTGGTGTGACAGGAGAATCCTGTGTCCCATAGAATTCTAGAGTTCACCTCTGGTTAAAATCCCCTTGCATGTCAGCACCTGGAAGCAGTAGATTCATTGTTTATTTATGCTTAACTGATACACTTACAAATACAGTCTAAGAATAAATGACTGGCCTGATTCTTTACATCTGTATACACACAGTTTTGGAGTGTTTTTTTCCAAAAGTGATGCTCTGGATTTAGTAGATATTTGGAGGACCCCAGCTCACAGGTCTAAATGAAGCTGCAAAATACTGTTTTTCGCCTTGATCTGCCTTTGATTTGCAGGTACTGCTAAGTCATTGTATGATGTTGACTTTTGAATGGATGTTCCACAAAGCTCATCCATTGTTCTTGCTTTTGCTTTGCAGTACAGAATTGGACAGCTGTACATGATAAGCAAGCACAGCCATGAGCAGAGTGACCGAGGAGAAGGTGTGGAAGTGGTGCAGAATGAGCCTTATGAAGATCCAAACCATGGCAATGGTCAGCTAACAGAGAAACGGGTCTATCTCAACAGGCAAGTGCAGTAAAACTCTTTTCTCTCAACATGGGCTGTAACAATTTGCAAGGAATGTCCCTTCCAGACAACAGCCTTTCTGTTTCAAGGAGAATGTGCTCCCATAAATACAGGCTGCTTCCTGGCAGCCACAGGAAGATGGAAGGTGGGGCAGCTCAGTGGCTTCACACAGAGGGATTAGTTGTCATTTCTTCTGAAGTATCTTTCCTAGGAGAAAGAATTACAACTTGAAGGTGCACTGAAAATTATAGCTTTTCTTTGCAATTTAACTGTCATTCTATTTTCCAAAATTTGGGGAGGAGGAGTAGGAGGAAAAGAAAAAAAAAAGAAAACTGAAAAACAAACCAAACTAACACCCCATCCCCAAAAAAACCCAAACCAACCTAATGAAATGGTTTAAGGGTTTTTCATCTCACAGTAATGTCACAAAGCCAGTACCCAATTTTTGATGACAAGAGATTTGGCTCAGTGCAGTGAATCAATGTTATGAGTGACCATTAGGTTTATACAATCCTGACCTTCTGTACCAAAATAATAGGTTTAAAGACCTGATGGAAAAATGTATTTTGTTTCCTTGAAGTTCCATAATTTCTTAAAGTTAAATGTATGTCTCTTCCTATGGTGAAATTATACAGCTGAGGATCAATGCCTCCACACTCAGAGGCCAGAGAAGTTTTTTTATATATGTTTCTTTGTGTCCTATGAAAGATATTACTCAATCTGTTCCTATTTTTACTACTGCTGATCTAATTTAATATCAGTGCTTTTCTGAAGTTCTTCTATTCCTCTGGGCCTGTTTCATTTTATGAAACTGATGCTCTGCAGCATTTCAGAGTGGGCATAGAAACACTCTAGCTATTGCTTCTACATTGAAGTTACTCCTTCCCTGCAATCCTCCTCTATCTGACCTTAACTCAGGCTAAATTGAATCACCAGGGATGCCACACACACACAGGAGTCCAATAATATGTCTTGCCAATATTTAATATTATTGTGGTGGTCACTGTTCTCTCACAGACAGGACTTGGGAAAAATCAATACGTGTTCCTCTGGTGCAGCTCCTAGCAGTTATAGGGTTTTTATAGAAGTTTCTGGATATTTCTTCCCTTCATGTTAATAAGAGATAAGGCTTAAAGAGCATATTCAGAATTACTACTTGAGGGTAATTCAGAATAGCTGCAAGGACTGTGTCCTAGAAGGCATGTAGAAGACGTATCTGGAAAGCATGTAGTTTCTGGTGGTGCAGGCAATGGGACCCAGGATCTTGTTCCCAAAGATGACAAAAAACATCTGTGTGCCTACAGCCTGGGTAGCTTACCTGAAGCTATGGTGGATGTTTGAGGTCAGGCTCACTGACTTCAATGATAACTGTGAATAATCCTTGATAATCATCACCAGATTTGCTATTTGAATCTGGTTTTGGTGTCACGATACCACCAGATAGTGGAGAACTATTAAAGCTTTATGGAAAGTATCAGCAGGTTTTCAGGCAACCAAGGATTTTGCAGGGATGCCAGGATCTCTCTGGAAGGCTTCACTCAAGGAGATGTGCTGCCATACAAGATGTACTGTGAACAAAGACAATTTTTCTAGTGCCTGTGTAAAACTTAGTTATATTCAGCATGTTTACTGTCTCTTCTCTCCTGCTGGAGCATTGTTTCAGGAGCTGAAAGTCTGCATCCTCTGGTTTTTATTACTGAGGTATCAGAGGAAAGCTTAGCAGGATAAGGGAGGAAGCGGAGAGGGAGTCATCAAGAGACACTGACAGAGGCTGACAAAATAAACAGAAGATCTGATACACTCAACCCTATTATGCAGTATGTAAAATGCTGCAGAAAAGGCTATTATACAAGAACGGTTTATGTAAAAAGAACCTGGTTTTGAGCAATGCCCTCAAAAAGCAAAGTCAATGCACTTGACTTTGAATATTTAGACAATGTACTAACATCTGCATTTTGCCTCTGGACAAATATAATATTTATGTATAGTTAAATCATGGTTAAATAAGGGTTAATGATCCAAACCTTGTGTTTTCCTCAGAAATTTGGTAGTCTGGAAGGTTAATTTACTTTCTGCACACAGTTATCAGAAGTATTTTCACTTGGAAAACTGAGGTTTGGAAGCATCTACTTTAGTTCAGTAAAGCTTCAGTCTCAGGCTGGGTGATCTGCTCTTCACATCACCAGACTAACACGATTGTAACTGAGTCTCTGAAGCACAGTGATACTTGTGGTCTCCAAGGTCTGCCTTCCTTTGAGTGACTAGTACTGCAGTTCCTGGCAGCTTCAGTGATTATAACTGATGTCATTAAGAAAGAGTTGAAAAATAAATTTTCATGAGCTTGCCTTCTTTTTAAAATGTTTATTCATCACTTTTTTGGTACCCTGCAAAGATCCATAGAAAAAATATGCTTCGACTCTTCCATAGCATTATTTAATTATCCTTGAATAATCTTCCCATGTTCTGTGTCCACATCTTTCCTTTCTTATTCTACTGTTGCACCACCACCTGGTTAAGTTCTCTTGACAGATTGAGCTCTGAGCTATGACATCTGTTAGTTCCATTAATTCTCTCCACTTTGGGGATTTACTTCTCCCACCAGCAAAACAGGACCAATAGTACCTGCCAGCCTCACAGAGATGTTTTGAGTGATTTGTTAATTTTAATATAAAAGCTTCCTTCTGAAGAGTTAGGGTTGGTAGTGTGGGAAATACTGAATGCTGGGTGAGTTGAACAAGGGTTTGTGTGCCAGCAGTGAATATGGAGGAAGAACAGTCTCTGAGAAATAATGGAATCGGGATCAACGTGATCTGAAATCAAATATTTACTCATGACCTTTGGTTGGAGAGTGCCTCCCTGTGGTTAAGAACACGGTGACACAGACACACCTTAGAAGATCTAACCTGCTGAGTTGTCCATGACCTACCGTTTGAGGCCACACATTCTTGAAGTCTGCAGCTGAGTCTGCTCGGAGGTGACTGCAGTGGCCCATAACACATTGCTTACTTGAGGGGAACCAGGAGCCTTGGATTAATAAATGCCTGTGTAGAAAGCTGACATGGATTGCACAGCCATGAGATGAAAACACTGTAGAAACATCAGGGTGTTGCTCTGTCCTGTTAAATACCTGTCCAACTACAAGCATGTTTGGAAACATCTTGTTTTGTACAGTACTCATAATGTATTCTAATGTCATACTTTCCTTTTATTTTCAGCAAACTGCCTAGCTGGGCTAGAGCAGTTGTTCCCAAAATATTTTATGTTACAGAGAAGGCTTGGAATTATTATCCTTATACAATCACAGGTAAGGAATAAAGCAGAAATTATTACAGACTTGTGGTCTTTGGATAGTTTAGCTTGTCTTCAGGAGCTCCAAATTACATATTGAGCCACAGATGCCAAGTTATTTTAACAAATTCTGTTAAACTGCATACATTTTTTCATCTTATATTCCTTAATATCAGGAAATAAAGATTACAGAGTATGGATATGTAAAAACTGGAGTGTTGTATCTATGCAATTTCTCCCTTGCAAAGAAAACATCAGGTGCTTAGATTCTGTGCTGACTTGTACCCTTTGTTGTCGCATAGACTTTAGTCAAATATCAATCAGATTATCTGACACAATTCTTTTTCATATTTATGCATGTTTACTGTAAGGATCTTGCATCATTGTTTGATTTCACATTTCTTTTCTTTTTTTCTTTTCCCTCATCGTTTTGGTTTTTTTTGCAAATGGACAATTGGGAATCAGAATACACAGTAAGTTTTTCTTCCTCTTTTTATTCTAAAAATAGAATAATTATGTGAAATACAGTAGTGGAATACTAACTGATTTCTTCTTAATGTAACTGATGTATTCAACAGTAGAACTTTGTTATCTATTTGTTTAAGAAATTTAAGGTTAAATTGGAAGGGGTTTCTAATCTGTGGGGTTTCTATATATTACTTACCTTATTTTTTATCACTTCAAACCAATTTGTTATATTTTTAGCCACTGACTGTACAAAGAGAAGCTTCTATATAACAGGGCAAGGCTTTTAAGGATCCAGTTATTATGTGGAGACATAAGAAAAGAGTTTATTTATTGTTTTATTAATTTAGAAAATGCTCATCTCTGGTGTAGTATCTGGGAAACTGTACAATCTGTAGACAAAATTAAACATAATCTGGGCATGGTGCCCAGAAAAATCAGCTATTCCCTGTAGCAGAGCTAAGGCAAAATATAGCACATAAATCATGAGAAAAATAGTTTTCAATGTGCTGGCCTCAATCATACACAGTAATTTTTCAGCAACCTTTGTAAGATGAGGAGGAGGTGATGAGGAAGTTCCAGGTGATGGGACCTTTCAGAAACTCCTGCCTTGATTTAGTTTTGAACTTCTGACAGTAGATAAAACATAGCCCACTTGTTTTTCTTAACTCTGCAGTGCTCAAAATATTTTTGCCTCTTTTTTTTTTCTTTTTTTTTTTTTTTTTAACTAGTAAAGAATACAGTCAGGAAAATTATTTTAATGTGATAAATGTGAAAGAGAAGACATAAGGGGACATGAAGGCTCAAATAAGAAAGCCGAAGACTTAGAGTTGAAACTTTGATGACCAGGTTTGAAAATCCAAAGCACTGCACTGTGCTTTTCAATAAGTACTGTAGCTACTTATTGCATACTCTGTTTTGTGTCATGTTTTAAATTAATTTGATTGTCAGAGGAGAGACAAGTGTCCTATAATGGTCAGTAGTAATGGTTGAATAGAGTCTCAGCTATTTTGTAGGAGGCGTCTTCAGTAGGGTCTGTCACAGTTTGCTTTAAGAGTTTAATCTTGGTCTGGGAGAATGACAAATTCTCTGTTGTATTGATACCTGGTAGCAGACAGAACATGTCTGAATTTGAAATGCAATACATAGTCAAAACCAAACAGCAAAGCTTAACTCAGAATTTGAATCAAGGGGTGATCTTTATCTATTCTGATAAGACAACACCTGGAACACATCAGAGAAGGTCTGCGGAAGGTATGCAGCTAAAGGGATGTCCAAGAGCATCAGCAAAAATGATTCCAGGGTTGAAGAGACTTGTAAAGAAAAATTGAATCAGTCTACAACTGTAGAAGGGAGGCAAAACAGTCGCTAAGTGACAGTATAACTGCCTGTGGGAGCTGGGGACTAATTACTCACCATGGTGCAAAGAAACAGAACTAGAAATATTGGGATGAGATTAAGGAAACTGTACTTCAGACAAAAATCTAAAGTATATTTTAATGGAACTGATAGACTATGAAATTGTCTTCAAGGGAAATAGAGGAACTGCCTTTGCCTCAAACTGTTGAATCTGGAACAAAAATACACCACTGGGAATAATTCCTATTCTTGTCTGGGAAGTTTCTCTACATTTTGATTTTCTGTGTTCGTTAGAGAATTCTAAAAGAAAGAATAAACCCACAGGCATTGCCCAAAATATGTAAATGTCTTCAAGGGAAATAGAGGAACTGCCTTTGCCTCAAACTGTTGAATCTGGAACAAAAATACACCACTGGGAATAATTCCTATTCTTGTCTGGGAAGTTTCTCTACATTTTGATTTTCTGTGTTCGTTAGAGAATTCTAAAAGAAAGAATAAACCCACAGGCATTGCCCAAAATATGTAAAAGTGCTTTTTAGGAAAGACAGGGCAGGGAAGCAAGGTGGTGGAGTTGCTCTTTATGTGAGAGAGCAACTAGAATGTATTGAGTTTCGTGCAGGGGCTGATGAGGGGCAAGTTGAAAGTCTGTGGGTAAGAATTAAGGGGCAAGCAGGTGCGGGTGACACAGTTGTAGGGGTCTACTACAGACCTCCTGATCAAGGTGAGGAGGTTGATGAGGCTTTCTACAGGCAACTGAAAGCAGCCTTACAACTACAGTCCCTGGTCCTCATGGGAGATTTCAACTACCCTGATATCTGCTGGAAGACTCACACAGCCAGCCTTTCACAGTCTAGGAGGTTCCTCCAGTGCATTGATGATAACTTCTTAATGCAAATGGTGGACAAGCCGACTAGAAGAGGAGCGCTGCTGGATCTTGTACTAACCAGCAAGGAGGGCCTTGTTGAAGCAGTGGTGGTCAATGGCAGCCTTGGCTGCAGTGATCATGAGATGGTGGAGTTCAGGATCCTGTGTGGAAGGAACAAAATACCCAGCAGGACCAGAACCCTGGACTTCCACAGGGCAAACTTTGGTCTCCTCAATCATCTATTAAGGGAAATCCCATGGGACAGGGTGCTAGAAGATAAAGGAGCTCAAGATAGCTGGTCAACATTCAAGGACCACTTCTTGCAAGCACAGGATCAGAGCGTCCCAATGGTTAGGAAATCTAGTAAGGGTGCTAGGAGACCTGCATGGTTAAAGAAGGAACTACTGGGCAAACTTAAGTGGAAAAGGAAAATCTACAGATCATGGAAGGAGGGGCTGGTCACGTGGGAGGAATATAGGACTGTTGTCAGAGGATGTAGGGAGGCAATTAGGAAAGCTAAGGCCTCCTTGGAACTTAACCTTGCAAGTCAGGTTAAGGATAATAGAAAGGGCTTTTTCAAATACATAGCTAGCAAAACTAGCAATAGAGGCAATATTGGCCCATTGAGGAATGAGGTGGGAGCCCTGGTGACAGAGGATATAAAGAAGGCAGAGGTGCTGAATGCCTTCTTTGCCTCTGTCTTCACTCCTGCAGGGTCTCCCTATGAGCCCCAGATTCATATAGCCCCAGAAGAAGTCAAGATAGAGGAAGAGTTTGACATGGTAGATGAGGATTGGGTTAGGGATCAGTTGAGTAATCTGGACATCCATAAATCAATGGGTCCAGATGGAATGCACCCAAGGGTGCTGAGGGAGCTGGCGGAGGTCATTGCTAGGCCACTCTCCATCATCTTCAGTAAATCATGGGCAACAGGTGAGGTGCCTGAGGACTGGAGGATAGCAAATGTCACTCCAGTCTACAAGAAGGGCAAGAAGGAGGACCCGGGTAACTATAGACCGGTCAGCCTCACCTCCATCCCTGGAAAGGTGATGGAACAACTTGTTCTTGTGACTATCTCCAGGCACATCAAGGACATGGGGGTCATCAAGAGCAGTCAGCATGGTTTTATCAAGGGTAAATCATGTTTGACTAACCTCATAGCCTTCTATGAGGAAATTACTAGGTGGATAGATGATGGTAGAGCGGTAGATGTGGTTTATCTTGATTTCAGTAAAGCATTTGACACCGTCTCCCACAGCATCCTTGTGGATAAGTTGATCAGGTATGGGTTTGGTGACCAGGAAGTGAGGTGGATTAGGAACTGGTTGAAAGGAAGGAGTCAGAGAGTTGTAGTCAATGGGGTAGAATCTGGTTGGAGGTGTGTTACTAGTGGAGTCCCACAAGGGTCGGTGCTGGGACCGGTGTTGTTCAACATCTTCATCAACGACCTGGATGAGGGTATAGAATGTACCCTCAGCAAGTTTGCTGATGACACTAAGCTGGGAGGAGTGGCTGACACACCAGAAGGCTGTGCTGCCATTCAGAGAGACTTAGATAGGTTGGAGAGTTGGGCGGGGAGAAACATGATGAAATTCAACAAGGGGAAGTGCAGAGTTTTACATTTGGGGAAGAACAACACCATGTCCCAGTACAGGTTGGGGGCTGAACTGCTGGAGAGTAGTGTAGGTGAAAGAGACCTGGGGGTCCTGGTAGACAGGAGGATGACCATGAGCCAGCAATGTGCCCTTGTGGCCAAGAAGGCCAATGGCATCCTGGGGTGCATTAGAAAGGGTGTGGTTAGTAGGTCAAGAGAGGTTCTCCTCCCCCTCTATTCTGCATTGGTGAGGCCACATCTGGAGTATTGTGTCCAGTTCTGGGCCCCTCAGTTCAAGAAGGACAGGGAACTGCTTGAAAGAGTCCAGCGCAGAGCTACGAAGATGATTAAGGGAGTGGAACATCTCCCTTATGAGGAAAGGCTGAGGGAGCTGGGTCTCTTTAGCTTGGAGAAAAGGAGACTGAGGGGTGACCTCATCAATGTTTACAAATATGTAAGGGGTGAGTGTCAGGGGGATGGAGTTAGGCTTTTCTCAGTGATGACCAGTGATAGGACAAGGGGTAATGGGTGTAAATTGGAGCATAGGAGGTTCAAGGTGAATATCCGAAAAAATTTTTTTACTGTAAGAGTGACAGAGCACTGGGACAGACTGCCCAGGGAGGTTGTGGAGTCTCCCTCACTGGAGACATTCAAAACCCACCTGGATGCGTTCCTGTGTGATGTACTCTAGGTGACCCTGCTCTGGCAGGGGGGTTGGACTAGATGATCTCTCAAGGTCCCTTCCAGCCCCTAAGATCCTATGATTCTATGATTCTATGAAAAGAGCTTGGAAACCCTCTTCTTAAAGGCAGGAAATTCCCTCCAAAGGGTCTGTGGGACATCCTAAGAATTAATTGAGCCTCATTTGAAGGAAGACTGATTCTGAAGGCAAGCTGGTAATTGGATAAATAAATATAATCTTGCTGAGTCAGTGATTCTATGATTCTATGAAAAGAGCTTGGAAACCCTCTTCTTAAAGGCAGGAAATTCCCTCCAAAGGGTCTGTGGGACATCCTAAGAATTAATTGAGCCTCATTTGAAGGAAGACTGATTCTGAAGGCAAGCTGGTAATTGGATAAATAAATATAATCTTGCTGAGTCAGGTACATACTGCTGTGTTTTGTGTTCACATCTTACTTAACCTCCTAAGTTTCATCCTAAATAAAGATCAAGGACTCTAAAAGTCAGTA